GGTGATGGATTATTTCACCAAGTGGCCTGAGTCATGTGCAGCACCAAATCAGGAAGCTACAACTGTAGCTTCGGCTATTAGTGATTTCTTCTTCAGATTTGGTATGCCACATGAACTGCATTCAGATCAAGGCCGTAACTTTGAATCAGCTGTGTTCCAAGAATGCTGCAAATTGTTTGGCATCCGAAAGACCACGACAACGCCACTGCACCCACAGTCTGATGGGATGGTTGAAAAGTACAACTGGACACTGGGACAGGAATTGGCAAAGTCTTGTAATAGCCGCCAAGATGACTGGGATGTCTTACTTCCTCCACTGTTGATGGCCTATTGTACAGCAGAGCATGAAACCACTGGATACACTCCAGCAAAGTTGATGTTTGGTCGGGAACTTCGGTTGCCAATGGATCTGTTAACAGGACGCCCACCTTATGAAGAGTTGCCTGAAAATGTGTCAAAGTTTGTGAAAGTGTTATCCGAAAGGATGGATGATATTCACCATCAAGTGCGTTCAAACTTGAAAACGTCTGCTGATTCGATGAAGCTATCTTATGATAAGAGATCTACTGAAGTCAGCTTTGAACCAGGAGACAAGGTATGGTTGTATAATCCCAGGAAGACCAAAGGGAAGTCTCCTAAGTTGTCTTCTCCATGGGAAGGCCCATATGACATAGTGGATCGTCTCTCAGACGTGACTTTCCGGATAAAATGTGGTCGGCGAGGTAAGCCAAAAGTGATGCATGCCAACAGGCTTTGACGTTATCACGGTCCAGGACATTTCAGTTGGGACGAAGTGAACAAAGGAATAATAATAATGACGCTGCTGAAGAGGTGTCACCTGAAAAAGCCAACATCGAAGAAGAAACTCTACTCTGTTTTGAGAAGAGAAACGGTGAAGCTCTTGATGAAGTTACTACCACTGATGTGACTGTTATCGATGATATGACATTTACTAATGAAGCAGATGAACCCCACATGAAGCAGAAGCCAACGAGACGGAGACCAGTACGGAAGAAGATACGTCCCGTAAAATTAAGAGACTTTGTTGAATTGTAATTTTGTGTTTGTAATTCTGTACATTCAATTAAGTCATTGTTAATTGTTATTGGTTTAATGTATGTGGCTATTGTTCGGGACGAACAATACTAAGGAAGGGGCAGTATTACGACATCGAGGTCACGTGACTAGTATCACGACACGTCATTCTCGAACCTTCGTGAATTGTCGGGAGATTACTAGATATAGTGTAGTCTTGTATATATAAGACTGGCCACGAAGCGACGGGGAGACAGTGAGTAATTGAACTGCAGTCAGAGAATGTGTAATTGAACGGAGTATTGTTGAAGTCGAGCATGTGAGACGTTCGTTGAGAATTATAGCGCGACTGTTGAAATTAAGTGTATCGCAAAGGTATATTCAGAAAGAATAAACCAGTTTTATTTCAGAAAGGACTTGTGTCGCTAAAGTTTCGTCAGAACGAATTTACGGAAAATTAACTAACGAACGGAGACGTAACAATATTGTTGCGTCATCGAGATCATGCGATTCTCACGCTCTCTACTTTCTAGAATTATCCTGTACTTTAGTGAATGTTCTAGTTTTTACTAGATATAGGGTAGGCGGGTATATATAAGAGGGGACAACGTGACGCGGGAGGTAATGTGTGCGTAGATAGTGAGTAACTGATCTGCAGTCAGAAGTATTATTGAGCACGTTCGTCGTTATAGCGTTTGTTTAGCGCGATTGTTGAAGTTGAGTGTATCGGTAAAGTTGTGTTCGGAAAGAATAAATTAGTTTTTATTAAGAAAGAACTTGTGTCGCTTATGTTTCGTCGGAACGAAGTTACGGAAAATCAATTACCAAACGGAGACGTAACAATATATTGAAAATATAGCTTCTAACAATATCATTGATTTCATGAAATGCAATTGTTATGGTGTGAACTAGAATAAGTAAACAAAGCGTAATTGTTTAAAATATCAATTATATTATTTACGAATCAGAATTAAGAATGAGGATTAATAACATATTAATATTATTTATTCGTTTTTACGTCATGTATTTATTTACTGGTATTCAGAGGGGCGGAATAAACTAACGATTTTTGCCATCTAGTGGTAGTTACTTGAAATGCAAAACAAATTAAACTCCCTCAAGAGTGGGGGTGGAAGTTAAAACTAATATTTCAGCAGCACATGACACGTGACCTACATTTTGGTGTTGAGATTTTGAAACGTAGGTTAGAGTTAGACCTTCTGCAGTAATTATTATTTTAGTGCGGAGTTGTTTGATTGTTTTCGCCAGTTTTTATTTTATATACTGTAAAATCAAAACTCGGTTTAGTTAGATTTTAGGAGAAATAATTATTTATTTTGTTTTTCCCGAGAAATAAAATGGTAGGTACAAAAAGTAATATTAATACTTATATAATAGTAATAGTATGAACAATTCCACTTTTACTATCACTAGTAATTAGTGTTACTATTAAATACTATCTTTAGTAATCCTAATTAGTACTAGTACGAATACTAATACTAACTTCAAGTTAAACTTTAAAGTAAGTCTAGAGTATGATGAATCATGAACTTATTAAGAATTATAATTTATTAATTATACGATGGGTGCTGTACTAATAGTAATAGTAATACTAGTAATTGTACTATAAACTATAATAAAGTATAGTGTTGTATAATATTATTATTAGTTCTACTACTGGTATTAGTAGTATACTATTAATAATATTAATAATATATGTACTTATCAGCCGTACTACTACTAGAGTTAGTATGTTATTATTATTATTAGCTGAGTATTACAATTTATATTTTATAAATTAATTCATAATAAGAAATCTAATAAATATTAGGATTATGTCCTAGTTTTAATTAGATTTGATAGTAGACATTTTTACTTCTGCTTTGTAAATACTAATCAAATATTGAATATAACACAAGAGTAATTACAATGGAATTATACTGGATAAACTGCTGGAAGGTTTGAGTTCCATGTAATGGCTCCATGTCTAATAAAGCCTAAAGGCACCATCCAACAGTTTGTCATTATAAATACATTTTGCTTACTTATTCACCTATCAGTGACGACCCTCAAAAAAGTAGTAGGAAAATTATAAATGTGCCTTCTTAAGTACCTTAATGTTTATTTGAAGAAGTGGTAGGACAATTATAAATGTGCCTTTTTAAGTACCTTAATGCTTATTCTGTGTAATATATCTATTTAGTATTTTATAATACAGAGCTCTGTAACTTAACATTTAATTTCTGTTAATTATTAATTAAGTTTCATCACCAAAAGTTAAACATTTTGAACTAAAATTAATACATATATATACATATACACACAGTAAAAATCTTTATTGTCAGCATATGCCAAACCCAGGTTTGCTGGATAGGTGAATATTCTGATTACAAAAGTGTTTCCCATATTATATTTTGCAGGAAAAAGTTTGACACTTTGTAAATGCTCTAAAGTACAATATTTTTACATCTATAACAATAATAAATGTTCTAAATATCTTAAGCTGTATAAAAACATTTGTAATTACAGTATTTTAAATGTGGATCACAATACAAATAGCTAACAACTGAAGCTTGCTAACATGAAAGAAAACAACCATAAACAGAACCACACAAGTGCCATTTAGCTACAATGATTGTTTGGGGATATTGAAATTTCCAGTTACATACATTTTTTGGGTGCAAAGATGCCAGGTCACAAATACTTTACTGTATATAATAATCTATTCATACTCTGACATTGTAAAAATACTAAGTTCCAGTATTTCTGACTTGCAGGATTGAGACATGCTAGTAACTCTCACAACTTATACTGGGACAGGAAGGTGAGAGGTGTGGTGTTAAAAACATAACACATCACAATGTGGGAAAAGTACATTTATAATTTATTTAACACTAAAGAAAATAGTTGCACAAATTATAAATTACAACATAAAAACAGTAATATTACACAGTAAAACAGTAAGATTAAAGACAATTATAAATTAGTGATATAACACAATACTTGGATTAATTGAAACACTAATGTTGGGTAGTTGATGATTTTAATGACATTAATTGATCTTATTTTAATTTTGATTAATCAGCTATATTATGTTACACTTATGAATGTAATAACTGGCCGAAGGTAATGTATCAGCTCTACACTCTGATATACTATACTTATCCATAATTGCACTACTTTCCCTGGGATAAGGAGACCAATTGAAGGATAATCAGTGTCAATTTGTTGAGATTCAGAATGGCAGGACTTTCCCTGGGATAAGGAGACCAATTGAAGGATAATCAGTATCAGTGTCAATTTGTTGAGATTCAGAATGGCAGGAATTTCCCTGGGATAATGAGACCAATTGAAAAATAATCAGTATTAGTGTCAATTTGTTGAGATTCAGAATGGCAGTTCTTTCTCTGGGATAAGGAGACCAATTGAAGAATAGTCAGCATCAATTTGTTGAGATTCAGAATGGCAGTACTTTTCCTGGCTAATGAGACCAATTGAAAAATAATCAGTATCAGTGTCGAATTTGTTGAGATTCAGAATGGCAGGACTTTCTCTGGGATAAGGAGACCAATTGAAGGATAATCAGCATCAATTTGTTGAGATTCAGAATTGCAGTACTCTCCTGGGATAAGGAGACCAATTGAAGGATAATCAGCATCAATTTGTTGAGATTCAGAATGGCAGTTCTTTCTCTGGGATAAGGAGACCAATTGAAGAATAATCAGCATCAATTTGTTGAGATTCAGAATGGCAGGACTTTTTCTGGGATAAGGAGACCAATTGAAGGATAATCAGCATCAGTTTGTTGAGATTCAGAATGGCAGTTCTTTCTCTGGGATAAGGAGACCAATTGAAGAATAATCAGCATCAATTTGTTGAGATTCAGAATTGCAGTATTTTTCCTGGGATAATGAGACTAATTGAAGGATAATTAGTCTTAAACAATGCTGTGGTAACCCCAATATTTTAAAACTTAACATTTATATTTATGTAGGCCATCAAATAGATCCCATGACCTGGTGATTTAACCAGCTGTACATTATCTTTTTTTTTTAACAGTTATATTTAGACCTTTTTTCCCCTCTCTATAATGTCAACATTAACAAAACAAAAGCATGAGTTAGTCTTTCCTCAGTTATTTAATGCTTAGAGCATAATTTCTAAACTAGACAATACTGAAACATTTTTATCTTGCTGTTTGACCACTGGACAATGCTAGTTATGATTCTCCAGCTTTCATTAGAAACCTAGCAATTGTCTTTCAATATCATTGACATAAATGATGAAGAAATGTCTTAAAGAAACTTCTCCAGTATATTTGTTTTTTCATTTAACTAGAATTTAATAACTGTTCTCTCCTTTTTTTAACCACAAAAACTATGTTCAGTCCACTTTCACATTTATCATTAATGTCATAAAATTTTAACTACAAATTGATAATTTATGACAATGTGTAACCTTGAAAATAATCTTCTGAAGGTCGAAATAAACAACTTCTACAAAGGTGGATATATTCTGAAAGTTGAAGCTTTGCCAAGAATCTCAAACAATGATGAACATTGTGATTCATAATTATAAATGTTGTGACTTTATCACAACAGATATCTTTATATATGTATATATAAACAACTGATAAGGTCACAACAATATATATTTTAGGGATGCACGGGTACCCACCAGATATTTGGCCCTGGCCGGGTATTGGGCTAACTGGTAATGTACGGATCTGGCCGAGTGTTGAAGTTAGGTATCTAAGCCCTAATCTTTGTGGCAACTAATGCAGTACTGAAAGTTGTTAATAATTGGTTTAGTTAAAAAAAAAATGTTCCGAGCAACAAAGACTGACTGCATGCTGAAATTTGGGATTTAGAGAACAATAGGGATTAATAACAGGCATGGCTTAAGAAGTGGATTTTTGGGGTTAGGGTTTGAGAAGTTGGGACTAGGCATTAAAAGTAAAACATGAATGTTCTGTTGGTGATTATTTGGTTAAATGTAATAAATGTCAATTTTGTTTTTGTTTTTAATTTTTGTGTATATATTTTGTTGGGGGGGTAACGGGAGAATTCAGTCCCGATTGACACTCAGCCCCAGCCAAAGCTCAGTGACCAGGTACCTGGTATTCGGCCAAATTTTACTACCCGTGCATTCTTAATATATATATATTATGGAATGGTACTTCATTAGGTCATCAAGTTTTTCTCCATATTTTTTTAAGATTACATTTCAATTGGTCCATAATTATATAGGTTCCGTGTCCTTACAACAAAAGTCACAGTGGTATAATTATTCAAATCCTCTACAATTTTTTTAAACTTAACATAATGTACAGAAACAAGAGACGGTTTGGTCTTTCAAGGTTTTCTTTGCACATTCACCCCTGAGAAAAGTAAAAAATGTAAACTCGCTCTATATTTTCCAGGAAATTATTGGTTTAAAACTTGTAAAGTGGTTGACTTTCCTTTAGGGTTCAGTTTTAACATTTACTTAAATTTATAATACTTAAAAGAAGACTTTGCTGTTAGTTTTAACATTATCAGTCAGCTGGTTCTCATAAGCCCTTTTGGATTTCCTAATTTCTTTTTTAACCAAATCTCTAGCTTTTCCACACTTCTTCCAAACTATCTGTCTGTTTAAACTTATACCAGTTATTCCTGATTTTCTCCTTTGTCTTCAGTAAGCCAAATATGTTTGAGTTTACCTGTGACAGTTGCTTACAGTTCAGTAGAATGTCTATGTTAGTATTGTATTTCGTGACTGATTGCCATCAGAGAGTGGTACATTATGGTACTTTGTTACTGGTTGCCATCTTACCAATCAGAGAGTTGTACATTATGGTACTTTGTGACTGGTTGTCATCTTACCAATCAGAGAATGGTGCATTGTGATACTCTGTGACTGATTGTCATCCTAACAATCAGAGAGTGGTACATTATGGTACTTTGTTACTGGTTGCCATCTTACCAATCAGAGAGTGGTACATTATGGTACTTTGTGACTGGTTGTCATCTTAACAATCAGAGAATGGTGCATTGTGATACTCTGTGACTGATTGTCATCCTAACAATCAGAGAGTGGTACATTATGGTACTTTGTGACTGGTTGTCATCCTACCAATCAGAGTGTGATATACCAGCCTACTTCCTCAGCATGTGTTAAAGATCACATGGTCTCCAGGAAGGAAATACCTTAAGATAAGCATGTAACAGCTGGTGTTTAAAATGGTGAAAGTTATTCCATGCGACAGAATGAAGCCAAATTGAATGTTTTATTGGGTGTTTGTATAAAGATGCTTTGCAGGTTCAGGAAATTTGTTAATAAACCCAGTCTAGGAAGAAGGATTAAATCTTCCACTAGTGATCTCAAACATTTTAAAACATGTTCCTTGCAGGATAGGAGACATTTCTGTAAAATTGGCCAATAATCTGGCTTCAAATACAGGTGTATTAAGACACACCCAGCACAATACGAAACAGTTTAGCTCTGTGCAGCATCTATGAACACATTGTGGCCTGGAAACCACTGATGTGGAGAGGAAAGCAAAAGAAAAGGCTAAAGTTGATAGTGGAAATGAAAAAGTTGGATGAGAAAGCTTGAAACAGGGTATTGTGTTTACCAATGAATCAAAGTTTTTAGTTGTTCAGCCTGAGAGTGTGTTGTTTACTAATAAGTCTAACTTTGAGTTGTTTAGCAGTAATCAACAACAGCATATTTCAAAGATGGAAATGGGGAAAGTCCCTTATCCAAGTACAACAACTACAAAGAATCATAGAGTGAATCTTTTCATCATTGTGATAGTATCTCTACCAACTCCATTGGTGTCGGAGATTTAGTAAAAATTTATAAAACATTGATAGCAGAGAAGTATGAACAGATTCCTATGTGCTGTGGAGTTCCATTAAGAAGTTACTTAATTAACCAGGAGTTTGTGTTTTATACACACATACATATAATTTAAGGACAACAAGGAATCTGTCAGTTCATTTAGGCCATCCCATCCACTTAACTAAACTTTAAAATAAAAATAAAACACTCAAAGCCAGCCCTTATCATTAAAATAATTTTCAAGCCTTTCCTTAAACTCCCATAACTACATCCACCACATCTGAAAGCAACTTGTTCCAAAGGTCAACCACACTGTTAGAAAAATAAAATTGTCTTAGCTGAAGATGACTCCTATACTGCAAAATTTATATTTGTGTTGTTCCTTAATCTTATCATTCTCACCATTAAGTAGGAAAAATGATCATTCATCAACACTATCAATTCCCTTAACAATCTTGAACAAAACCAGATCCCTTCTAACTCCTTTTTTTCAAGAGAAAACAATTGCAGATATATTAATCTGCCCTTGTGTGACAACCTTTTTATCACGAGTATTATCCTAATAGCTTTAATCTGAACTCTTTCTAACAATTCAATGTACTTCCTAAGGTAAGACACCTCAGACTGAACACAGTACTCCAAATGTGGTAAACTTATGAAATTATAACCTCTTTAGACTTGTATTCAATATTTCAACAGATACAACCTAAAATCCTATTTGTCCTACCACTAGCAACAGTACATTACTTTGCTGGCTTAAGAACTGATCAACTAAGACACCAAATGTCTTTTCTTCAATAATACTGTTAAAGTTATTCCCACCAAAATTTACTTATAGTTCAAATTATGTATTATAACCCATATGTATTATCTTGCATTTATTATAATTAAAACCCATCAGCCATTTATTCACCCAACTCACAAACAGATCAAAATCCTTTTGTAAATCAGAAACATATTCCTCATAGCCAGCAACACCCAAAATCTTAATATTATCAGCAAATTTAAATAATTTATTGACCATTCCTTCTTCAATGTCATTAATGTAAGAACAAAGGCCACAACATTGAGCCCTGAGATATCCCACTTGTGACAATAATCCTGTTTGACTGAATTTTATTTATGACAACTCTCTGCTTTCTTCCATTCAGCCAGGTTTCTATCCAATGAGTCAACCTATGCCCCACATCTACAGAAATAACTTTTCTAACAAGACTTTTGTGTGGTACCTTGACAAATGCTTTCTGAAAATCCAGATACACCAAATCCATACCTGTAACTTGATCTACATAAACGATAATTTCTTCGAAGAATGTTAAAAAATTTGTAAGGCAAGATTTTTTCCTGAGTGTTAAACTTTATTAAATGGCTTTGTAAAACATCTTTCCGAAACTTTTCCCACTACTGATGTAAGATTAATAGACAATTTTTATCATCTCCCTTGAAAAGAGGAGTAACTTCTAATCTGCTGGTATCTTCCCATTATTCAAGGACTTAGAAAAAATAATAGCAAGTGCCTCCTATCCAATCCTTAACCTCCTTCAAAACTGTTGGGGAAATATTATTTGACTCAGGAGCTTTATATTCTTTAAACTTTCCAATGTTTTTTAACAATCTCAGAATTAATATGATCATCTTCAAAGGGCTTCTTTGCTGTGATAATTTACCCCTGAGGATAACTCAACCTCCATTTAGTGTTACCTTCAAATGTAGGGTGCAAAAATGGTATCATTGTAGGCGCTAAACAGTATTCTGACCTAGAGACATTCTGTCATATCCCATAGATGGTAGCTACATGCCACTGTTTGCTCAACCAAGCACAGGTACAAAATGTCTGAACCTGAGGTTCCTCTCATAGTGATCAGGATTAATATCATAAGGACTTGTCATCAGTGTGGTAAAACTAACCTGTCTCATTAGCAGGATAGTGATCCTCTGCATTTTACAAACATTTTAATAACCTATCAGGACAAAAACAGACAGCTGAACACTAGAACTCATGTCTGGCCTGACCAGTATTCAGATCTGAATACTAGGACTCCTGCCTTGCCTGACCAGTTTCAGACCTGAACACTAGGACTCCTGCCTTGCCTGACCAGTGTTCTGATCTCAACACTAGGACTCCTGTCTGGCCTGACCAGTGTTCTGATCTGAGCACTAGGACCCCTGTCTGGCCTGACTATTGTTCAGATTTGAACATCACTAAAGGAATTATGATTTACGTGAAGAGGAGGTCAAGAGGCAATGAAACAACCTGTGTAATTTACATATTAAAGGGTGTTTGAAAGAACATTCCAGCAATACATTATATGACAGCATGCTGACTAAGCCTTGTGCTATAAGAAGATAGAGTAAAGGACTTATACATGAAATACTAATATATTCAGTTGCATGTTTGTACACTCATTATGGTTTGGCCTACTTTAATTCTGTAGATGTGATTAAGCTTCTGTGCTTCTTTGAAATGAATCTTTCTCCTGCAATACAATTGTTTAACCAGTGTTTCCATTACCATATGTTAGAAACAATAAGTCTAACAGGATAACCTTTTTTAAGTACCTTTGAAACACCATATGAAATATCTGGAGGACTATCTGATGACCTTATAGAGAAATATTCTTTGTTAAGTTTAAGACATAATTCTTGAAATTGATTTATCTGGTTTTTGAAGGATATATTTTCAATTTAACAAAATTTATTGTATCATTAAAACTAGATAACTTAAAATAGAATATGAAATTTGAAATAGAGTGTATATAATCACGAAGCACTATGTGATAGCTCATTCAAAAATGTGAAAAAGACAGTGATGATAAACATTTATGTATAAAAGAGTGTTTACTGATAAAATGTGTTTAGCTGTTAATATGTTATTATGAATGTGATAAGTTTATGAAGTAAATGTTTACAAATAATTATTTATTTTTCTTAAAATCAGGATGTTGACATCTGTTGTCAGGGATAAGTTTAAAAATCATCTTGAAAGTTAGTTACAAATAAAACAAAATTGAACATAAGTTTGGACCTTAACTACTTATTTAATGTTCATAATGTAATGTACTTAGGTACAAGTAATTTAATCTATGATGGGTGCTAGATGTCACTTAAAACTCTTGTAAAGTGCCTGAACAATTACCATGCTCAATACAAAAATTATTTTAATTTTTGTTTTGTTGACAATATCAGAAATCTGCATTCATTCAATTTCAGAAGATGAGAAACTTGTATGCTGAGGTTCTGAGCTCATGTGTCGCACAACAATAGTGTCAGATATGCTCTCGAATGTCGAACCTTCCTGCTATGATGCCTGGGATATCTGGTAAGTTATTGAATTGTCGCTGTGCTGTAATAAAATAACAAATCATTCGTTTTATAATTCTGTAGTAAACTGTTGTTTTTAAATTGGATAATGAATAAAATGGCTCAACATTTGAAACAGTTTTGATGTGGGAATAGTCGGGTGCAACTGAAAGTGAATAGATAACATGAGACAGACTTCTGTATAGGACTTAATCACTATGGTGGCTCTTGAACGTATGATCAAATCAAGCTATCTACATAGATCAGAACTAAGAAATAACCCAGTAATGAATACTACTTATAATGATTAGAACTCATTGATTTATCAGTTTGGTACTTCAATGTTAGTGATATTTTTGGCTGTAATCACAATATTATCCCTCTAGGTTTGGCCAACATAGGAAATTTACATTAGTCCTAAATCTGTATACCAAGCTAATAATGTAAAATCTCTTCCTCCTCTTCCTGTTCAGCTGAAAGCCTGTCAGCTGCATCACCCCATAAAACTTTGCCATACACTCCTTACAGATATAATTTTCGTTCCTCTGTTTTCAACTGCTTGCTCAATATTTTGTCTCCATCTCACCCATGGTCTTCCTATGAGCTGTCTTTTTTGGGTATCTTTTTATATCCATCTGCTTGACATGCCCATACTACCTCAACTGGCCAAGGCTCAGTTTGAGTTGCTAGAAGTATTAAATCCCTCAGTGGCTCACTAGGCCTAACCTTGGTTCTCAGGACTGTGTGTCTGGTTACAAGTCTACCATCACTAGATCCAAGTAGACCCAGGGTAGTCTTCAGCTGCTACATCTTCAAGATCGAACTGTCCCTTAATAATGGAAAATAATATTCACAATTAAATACATGTATATATATAATATATATACAAATGATAAAAGCAAATACATATATATATATTTAAACATTTTAACCAATATTATTAATTAAAATAACAATAAAGAAACAATAGAATATAAATTACAAAATACGTAAAAACTAGTTAGTTATTTCATGCACTACCACTGGTTCCCAGTCATTGGAAAAACACAACAT